TCTCTGTTTTTCTTCACTCTTTACTCTCTTAAATCTCCTAAACACCAACCATGGTTCGCAAAAGAAATTCAAATCAAGAATCCTCAAGAAGAAAGAGCTCCAAGCACACCCACAACTTCTAATCCAATGTTGAGAAACCTTTCTTAGAAGCCACCTTTTCAAGTACCCAAACTGTGACCAGGAAGGAGGTGGTAACCCTAAAGGCTCTTGACACCTAATACTTTGTTAATAACGAATTTAACTTCATTACAATTTTGAAGAATCTAGAGCTGATTACCTTTTTAGAAATCAAGAAAGAAACCAGTGTATCCAGATCTTGTTCAAGTATTCTACAGTAACCTTAGCCTCTGAAAAGGAGTTTATGACATTAGAAGTGGCAAGGATTGAGATTAAAATCGAGCAAAACTCTCTAGCAAAAGTTAACAACTCTACCTTGTGATGATCTCAAATGCATTGGTGATCGACCTAGCAAAAAGTGGGTTATTTTGACAAAATTTGACAAGCTCAAGGCCAAGGAATCTCTATTGCTAAATGATAGTCCCCTAGAAGGATCCATAACAAACGATTTACACAAAAAATTGTCTTCTCCACCATGCTTTGGTAACGGGTTTACTTTCTCGCTCTAGTAATCATGTATATCTTATGGATAAAGATGTTATTCCAATCTAGACAATGCTTAATGGTATAACCATGAACTGAGATTATTATGTGATGAATCATATGCTTAAAGCAGCCAAAAGCAAAAGTGGTGGTCTGCCTAATGTTATGTTTCTCACTAAAATTTTTGAGCACTTTGATGTTCCTTTTGATCAACAAGAGAAGGAAGATGCAAAAATATAAAAAATATTTGGACAAAAAATATTATCTCAGATGGGCATTAAACCTAATGGAGAAATGTACTATGATGTTCGTTAACCTACTAGTGGCCTTCTTCATGAAGAAGAGTTTCCTGAAGATGAAAAACAAGAATATGGCTCATTTGCTCCTCCTTATGACTTAAATGCACCACCATACATAGTGGCCTTTATGAATGAGATGCAAACCTACATGGACCAGCAAGGCCAGCAACATGATGTTCTAGCTGCATAGATGCAGGAGATTTGTAAGTTGTTAGCTGCAGCTTAGAGGCAGCCAACTAATCTATCAGGTAAGGTTTGTCCCTTTCCATATAAAATAATTTAGTAACATATAATATTTGTAGAAAAATGTCAGATACTAATGGAAAAGTTATTGAAAGCAAAGAAACTCACATTCCAAGAAAACTCAGATAAATGATTCAATGATCAAAATGCTTTGAAATCAGTGGATGTTTTCTGTTAGCAAAATATTTATACAACAATGTAACTATGATAAGTTAAATGTGAGATTAACCATCTTTTTGACAAACTAACCAGAAACTGTAACCATAATTAATGCTAACTATTGTGGTGTTAAGAAACATAAGATGGAATTCAATGCATAACAAAGCAACAAAGCAATAAAATGAGAGACATTAAAATACAATGAAAATCAAGTCATGTAATGAAGAAATTATCTATTTGTGTTATAAATGCAGAGAACATCTCAAGACGTTTGAAGAAAATGCTTTTTGTTCTTGATGTAAATGGATTGCTTGCTTGTATAACTCAGTCTCCTCCAAAGAATCTCAATCCAAATAATTTCATTACACATCGAGCAATATTCAAAAGGTCTTTTTATGTTGACTTTCTGAATTTCTGCTTTGAGAAATTTGAAGTCGGTATATGGACTTCAAGAAACAAGAAAAATACCAAGGAGATCATTGAATATTTTATGTCGAACATGAAGCAAAAGTTGCTTTTTTGCTTGGATAGTTCTTATTGTACTACCACTAATTTCAAGACCCTAGAAAATGAAAAAAAGCCATTGGTTTTTAAGGATCTTAGGAAACTTTGGAAGTGTTGTGATTCTAATCTTCCATAGGAGAAGAGATACTACAATCAATCTAACACATTACCCTTGGATAATTCTCTATAAGCATTATCCTTACTATAAAAATGATAATTTACTAGCTGGCAGAGATAATCTGCAAGAATATCTAAATAGATTATCAAATGCTAAAAACGTTCCTAAGTATGTAAAGTAACATCCATTTGGTCAAAAACCTATTAATGATACATATCGATTTTGGGAATTCTACTACAAGGTTATAGCTAGTCTTAATAAAAATGTTGATGGACATTTGGCATGTTAAATGAGACACAAAAATTTCAAAGCATTTGGTTCTCCCCCTTATTCAGTACACAACTATTCCTCAATTCAACAACTTGTGTTTATTTCTTGTCTTTGTTCATTACAAAAGTTGTGATATGATATTATTTGTGTTATTAAATGAAAAAAAAAACATTTTTGATAGTCATGATCCTAAAGATAATGCTGAAACTATAATCTTGTTTATTTTCTTGGGTTATGTGCTGAACTAAGGCAGTTCTGCAGATAATAGATATGATATGATTTTTAGCAGGTGACAAAATTGAGTTTATGATGTATATTGTAGTCCTAGTGAGTTTATGAATGTTGTACCCTTGAAAGGGATAAACTTTTTGACATGGATGAACTTAGTAAATCCAATATAATTTTAAATTCTTTTTGCTAGTTTGATTTGTTTAGTTCAAATTTTTTGTTAGCTACAATTTTAATGTCTTGGATGTTATATATTATCATTTTAAAGAGTATTGCATACCTACGAAGATGAGAAAAGAGAATTTAAAATTTAACTTGAATACTAGTACACTCTGACCCAAAGGTCCTGAATGAGAGTCACTAAGTAAGTTATTGAAATCTTAGCTTTTTAACGTTTTAGATAGTAAATTCTAATAAAAAAATTTTATAAAAATTTATCATAAAATATGTTATATTTACAAAAACCAATAGTATATTTAAGTCTAAATGAATATATTTAAAATTTATATTTTTATTATAAAAGATATAAATTGATATATTAATATATTAATATAAATTTAATATATTAATCATGTATTTATCATCGTAAATGACATATAATTTTTTAAATTAAAATTAAAAAATATATCTTTTCTTTCAATTTTTCTCCAAAACTTCTTTCCCAAACATTACTTTATTGATGTTGGTTAAATAACATTAAACATGCTTATATGCTTATTACCAAATAAACTCTAGGGTAATAATGTTGTTGTCCACTGGGTTCATTCGATCACATTACAAGGAGGTGAGGTGCCGAAGGGGGCTTTTGGTGATTTTATACTAATCACTGTATGTAACAAGGCCAGCCAATTATGCCTGCTAGAGCAGTTTGCTAAGCTTACAAAAAAAAATCACTTATTAATGATAATTTGTTGAAAAATTAAAATAATCACAAATCATATAATAAATAATATTAGTTTATCAGTGAAAAGTAAAAAAAATTTATTAAAAAAACCTTTAATCTTGTCATAACTTTCTTCTATAAATGATGTTTTAAAGTGGAGTAATTGGGAAGGAGAGTACCATAGGCAGAAATGGAATTCACGGGTTCTACTTACTGGGTATACTTGCGCAGGGGTAACAATACCGTCTTTGTAACGCAAGCAACGTAAATCCTTTTCATCTCTCTTCTGCATCCATAAAATAATCACACTATCCAACAGTAAAAGGATATGAATTTGTGGATGAACCATGATGCAAAGAAAAGTCTTAGATGCCTGCATTTCTCGGAAATATTACAAGCCCCTTTTAGCTTGCAGGCATGGGTACCCCGCACACATTAAACGTTCACCAAAACTTGAAAAATTAGTATTTAGACTTCGGAAAATTAAAGCTTGTTAGTTTCTGTTTTTATTTTTATTTTTAAAAATTATATTTTAAATCAATTTTAAAAAATTATTTTAAAAAAATGAAAATAAAACTCGTTTGTTAGTTTAATTTTCAAATTGTTTTTAAGATAAGAAAATATAAAAACTTGTTTGATAAACTTATTTTTGAAAATAAATTTTAAAAACTAAAAAAATAAAACATGTTTAATTTTATTTATTAAATATTTTAAACTAAACAAACATATAAATGTATGTAACTATATTTGATATGTAATTTTAGTAATTTTTTTTGTTTACTTAAACATATTTTTATGTTTAAAATAAAATATTAAAATCTAATTAATATTAAACTGAAAGTTTTCTTATTTATGAAGTAATGCTAGCAATTTATACAAATTTTAATAAATTTAAAAAATTATAAAATATAAATTAATATTAAACTAAAAAATAATGATTAATTTTAAACATTATTTTTCAAATTTTGTGCACAAATTAAAAATATAATAACAATTTTTTAATCCATGGTAATGGACATATGATAAAAAAATAAATACTTTTTTATAAATAATCATATATATATATATATATATATATATATATATTATCAAAGTTTATTTACAATTAAAATAAATAATTAAAATTATTATAATAAAAAATGAAATACAAAACAATATAAACTTTATATGATATTTAATTATATATTATATATAAAATAATATTTTCATTTTTATTTAAAATTTATAATTTTTAAAAATTAAACTGGCTACATATATATATATATATATGAAGAGAGATATGGAAAAACAAAAATAGCCTTTTAAAAAATTATTTTTAAAAATAGTTTTTAAAATTGAGGTTAATAAACAAGGCTGTTTTTAAAAAAAAAAAAAAAAAAAAAAAAGAAAAACTGTATTGAAAAGGAAAATAAACATGCTCTTAGTCCCGTCATCCTGCTTTCAAGTCAACCACATCTGTGTGCATCTATTTTTCTAAAAGCATTGCAGCACACAATTTGAATAACAACTTACATTTTCTTGCAGTTGCAAGATAATAAAGTTCTTATTTGATAGAAAAGCACTATGATAAACTGGGGGTAAACCCAAAGAGTCATAAACTGGATATGAAGAATTATCTTAATTAAGTGAAATTATTTCTAGAGTTCACCATTAGCTAAGAATCAATCCCTCTCTCAATAAAACATATTGACTTCAAAATAGTCATGGCAAAACTGAAGACCTTGCAAAGAATTAAATTTACGCTTGCTCGAGCGGCAACTACTAATATCGTAGATGTAGCTCAGACAAAGCTAACTGTAAAGGAAAACACAAACAGCACACTTGGATTACATCGGAGGCCTTCCAGAACCAAGCAGCTGACCGATTAGATTAGTAACCTAGCCAGAAAAGGAAAACCAGCTTAGTCAATAAGACAATCACTATGGTAAACATTTGCAGTTGCCACGATTCAAAAGCAAAACCATACTGAAATCAGAAATTCCGTGATCCAGACTAAATTTTCCCTTGCTTGCATGAAATTATCAAGACTCTTGAAGTCTAAACAAGAATTTTCAAAGAGATTACACATCTAACCACATCCCTAAACCCCATTAAGATTTCATCCTAAACATTTAAGAAGCTAAGTTATAGCATGATCAACCACCAAAAAACTGAATTTGCATGAGTAGAAGAATAACCAATAGATAAAAACTCAAAAATTGCTAGTCACACATCCAAAAGTAAACTTAAGCAACATCTTACATGCCAGTATTTTGAAACACAGCGGTCAATGCAACTATTTTCACCCATATTTAGCTCAGACTCCTTGTACCTGAGAAGAAAAAGTGATAAACGGATATTATAACATTCACAATCAGCCATCATCAAAATAATACAACATCAGATAACTCCTTTTGAAGAATAAGAAACTAATCTCCAAATTGACTGGATGACATTTGAAGCGCATCGAGCATGACACTTTCTGAACCAGTTTACACAATTAGAAGAAAGTTTTCCTACCTATTTTCAACGCACTTATTGAAACAGGTCTGGGTCATCCTAAACAGTAAAAACAACAGGTTAGCCAAATGAATCTTCTAAAACAAAATGCAGTCAGATTCTACATTATACTTGACAGAGAAGAATGAATTTATAGATGTAAGATAACAAATTATTAAAAAAAAAGAGAGGGGGGGGGGGCAAGCAAGAGCAGGATACCTACTTGTTGAATAATTCGACCCTATACTCCATCTCCTTTTCAGCCATTCCAAATATCTGCTCCATTGCATATGAATTATTTTACCAAATCCAAAAACAAAATACTCAAATTATGCCCAAAAAAAAATTCAAACTTGAAATCAAATTGGGTCAAATTAACATCACCACCAGATCAGTTTTTTCCAAAATTGGAGGAAGAGAAAAGAATATTTGCCTGTTCTTTATCCAAGGCAGAAGGTGAGATGTTGGCAGCCATTGCACCCTGAAAATCCCCAAAACAAAATAGATGAATTCAGATCGTGAAAATCAAGGATTAAAGGAAAACAAGAAATTTTCTGAATATTCAGAACTAAAAGGAATGAACCATCTAACTCACGTCTCACAAGAAGTTCTGTTAATGGTGGGGCAAATATATGATCAGAGTTTTGGGGCAAAACAACTGTGTGTTCAATTCGAAAGAATGCATACTTTTTAAAATAATATGCCTGTTATTAAAAATCCCTAAATAGAAAAAGAAAGATCAGGTCTCCCCTTGTTTAGTTTGTGGCATACAGATTATAGAATCCTCAGGCCTATAAGTTTGTAACTTCTTAATTGAGAGATCAGCACTACACTCAAGGTTTCACTAAAACATGAATCTAATTCAGCGCCAAACTTGAAGAAAGGAAAAGAGCATAGCCATACAACCCAAATACCAAAGAGGGAAACCGAAAAAAGAAAAATCATCATACTTTTTTACCAATTCTCCTTATGACCAAACTTGACTTTTCCACACTATAAGGTGCGAGCATAGTATTTGAGTGAGAGAATCTTTTGAAATATACATATTCATGAACAAATATAGAAGTTCTGTCATGATCATTTTTTAAAAAAATTTTAAATATACTCAACTATTAATTTTGAAAAGATGTCAAGCATAACACTACCACTAGTCAATCACACATGGAAGAAGATACGCAGAAAGAAAAGGAGAAAGTGAGTGAGAGAAGCAATAGTGGTAACCTCTCCCAAAATTAACGAAATTAATAAGAATAATTGAGTGTGAGATAGAGAATAAATCTAATAGAACCCCTAAGGCTTACAAATGGAACTTGTAATCAAACGGCGTATACTGGTTATTTAGCGGGGAAGAGTAGAGATTTATATCAATGATTCATAATTTAGGATCAAATAATTCAGTAATATCTTCCTCATAATATTAATCTAACATAACTAAAGAGAACAGTTGAATGAGCTTTGTGTCATAATAATCCCTAAAATTTGCATTCAAATGAGGGAGATGAGAAGCTCAGAGATTTACCTTATGAGAATGCGAAGAATGACACAAAACGATGGTTCACAGTAGACGTGAAGGGACTGCCAGAGGCCTGAAGAAAGGGCGAAACGGACTGAAAGGTTACACCCTAGTTTAGGTTTTATATCGTCTACAGTTTAATTTTCAAAATATACTGTAGATTCAAAACATAACTAAATAATAATCAATTATTCTTATTAATTTCATGAATTCTTCTTAAAATGGTGCTCCCTCGGAGAGAATGTCAAGAAAAACATAAGAAAGCCTCTTCAGTTCAGGTCTCCATGTATTTTCCGCATGGAAAACTCGGAAGAACGAAAGTAAATTCATCATCCTCAGAGACTTTTTTGATTGGTTTTGAAATGACAGGGCAGACTACGTGCACTAATCAACGTGAAATTAAGACGGGAGAACAGAAAATGTATCTTTAAAATAAAACAATTCCAAAACCTTCAATTTAACAATAATTTAAAAATAAAGTTTATACCAAGACCACAATGCTTTGTGTGAAAATTTTAGCCCTAAATCGAGGGCACATGATTTTTAAGTAGCTCAGAAGATAAATAGCTCAAAAACCTCATCCGAGAGTTGCTGCTCCCAACCATATCCTAAGAACCCCAGATCCTAGGATTCCAAGAAAAACAGTAGGTGCACAAATTTTTTTTATCAAATTCAAATGCAAAACAACCAGAAATAGTGAAGCACGAGTCATGAGTAAAACAAAGAAACCCAAAACGACAAAAAAAACTAAGGCATAAAAAAGCATAGGGGTTGTTTTTTTATGTTTCAGAGGTCCTAATATGTCTCTTCAGTTCAGGTCTCCAATACAGCATTCTTCATGAATTGTTAATCAGAAGAACGAAAGTTATAACTGAATCAAATCCCCATCAGAGACAGGAGCATTTCCAGAACAAAATGCACAAATATACACACAAAGGAGCATGAATTCAGAAACAGAAGATAAATCTGTAAGAAAATAAGAAAACCGGCATGAGCAACGTACCTTGATTCAGATGACTAGGATGATCTGAAGCTTGGAAGGTACGAACGCCAAAAGTGAAGACCACACTCAGTATGTGAAATCGAAAAACCCTACCTTTTGTGGGGGGTTTTTTTTTCAATTCAAAACTCCACTTGGGTTGGTTAGGCCCATTTCAATTTGGGCCACTACCACGACTTCTTGACACCCAAGCTAAAAATGCTTGTAAGCTTAAAAAAAAGGAAATCAATTTTCTTGGAAAATAAAATAAAATAAAAAATTTTACTTTCGTCACTCGGTTTTTAAACTGACAATTTGATTGAATGAGTGATAAATATCTGTATATTAATATTTTTATTATTATTAAAATAAGTATTCATCAACTAAAATAATTTTGTACAATAATTTTCTATTTAATTTTTACAGTTTTTATAAGTATATATGCGCATTATACAGCATACTTATTAATTTTTTTTAAAAATGAAAATGCCTATAAAATGTAATTGTTGATTTATTTAGTCAGCAATTACAAAGCATGTTTGAGAAAATCGTGTATTATGGATACAACATCCAAAACTAATCAAATATATAATTAACAATAAATTAATATATTTTAAATAAATTTCTTCATGTATATATTAGTTATTCAAATAAAGGATATTTTTACTTTTTATAAATTCATTAATCAAAACTTAAATTCATTTAATCAACAATAAATATAATATCAAGTTTATAAGTTATCATGAAACTAAAATTTTATTAAATTTAAAATTATAAATATCTAAATGTATTTATACTTATTACCAGTAAAATAACTATTTATCAATTGAATAATTTCGTATAATATTTTAAATATAATTTTTACATTTTTAAATATATATATATATATATATACACACACATATAATAATTTATATCCTAATGATAAAAAAAATTAAATTCTTTTATCATTTAATAAAAATAATTTTAAATATTTCCTAAGGATTTTTTATTAATTTTTGTAACCATTAAATAAAAATATCTTAATATTTGAAAAAAATTAAATATATTAACATATTTATTTTATATATTTTTTCAGTAAGATGCCTTAGGGAAGTATTTATTCAATATTTTTTTAAATGAAGATTTATTCTATAAATTTAAAAATTTATAAAAATTAGAAATTATTTTCAGAAACCCTTTTAAATGTCTTTTAAATATTAAATTAATTAAGAATAAAGGAATTATATATCCTTTGATAAAGAAGGAAAGTTAATTCTCTAGATTAGTTGCTAATATTCTTTGAAGGAAGGTCTATTATTACTCTTATGAATTTACTATCATTTTTAACTATTTTGTATTTAAAATACTCTTCTTTAGAGAGCACAAATAATCAGAAGTGATGGGCTCCTAAACCTAGAACAAGCAGCTACAGGATGGAGAATCGACCTTTCGGATCGCATAAAAGCAGCAGAAGCGCTTTCTGCAAAACGCGATTTCTAATCATCTTCTTCAACTTGTCAAGAAAACGGGAGACGAATCAGTCACTTTGATCAAAATATTGTGTTTTTTGCCAGATAATTAAAACAACACATCCTTCACAAACACCCATTTGCTCTTGAACACATTCTGCTTCAAAGATCCATGCAACGAAAGCGTCGAAATGGAGCGATTCCTCAGGGCTCCAACATTCAAGATAGAAAATAAAATACACGAAAAGGTAATTCGTTAACTACATCGCCCTAGTTTGGGATTTGTTTATATATATCATTTAGCTTTCACCCATCATATCATTATCAAGTCAGAATATATAGTATTACTTTGAAATCTTTGGTGAATGTTCAAAGTAAACAAAAATGGGAGAATGGAAGAGCCTAAATACTGTAACTTTATATTTAGAAGTTTCATATTTGTACTGGTACTTGTAAAGTTGCTTTTTAAGAGTAGAATTTATTGTTGTATATTTAGTTTTTGTTCCTGAAAGAGCTAAAATTTCAAAACTTGGCATATATCATATCCCGTAAGAGAATCTTCCTTATTATCCCATCCTAAGTCGGATATATTAAGAAGCGGCTTTTCTTGGTCTTGTAATTGATTGTGTTATTTTTCAGCTGAGTTTTGTTGATTAATAAAATTTTATATTTAATTAATATTAATATATATAAATTCATAAATAATTTTAAATCATTAAGTTGTGAATGTTCATATCGATATATTAATATGATATAATTTCTTTTACAAGAATAAGTTTTGGAAAAAGGAATTATTCAATTATAAGTTACATAGCCTGAATGAGTTATTTTGAGTTAACTGTGTTATATATATTTCACAACATACATAACCCTATTATGTTCCTGATAAGAGAGAGAGAGAGAAAATTAATCCAAATTCATAGAGAAAGTGCTAATGGGACTTCCTATTAATTATTAGATCAAATTTTGTTTCTGAAGTGGGGGATTCTAATTTCAATTCGCACTTGAATAATCGTCTCATCAAGAACAGCCAAGTTGAAGTTCCTTTTTTATGATATAGATGGATTAGAATATCTCTCATATTTCTTCTAAACATTTTTTTTAAAGCGGATCTGCCAAGGTTACCCATATATATATATATACTTCTTTTCCAAGAAAGGTGGATATTTTTATTGAAAATAAATGGATAATTTGGTTTAACATATTACTTCTAAAACCTTTTAGCACCTAAATATGTTTATGTGATCACAAAAGGTCTTAAAATTTTAAAACATATATAATAATTAACCCGGTACATTAATTGAATTCAGGAACCAAACTGCGTTTGACAGGGTAATTTAGAGATGGAGTTTCCTACTTCTTAATTAGCAACTAAAATATAATAATCATTGTAAGAGAATTAAACTCTGTTGGAAATGAAGTTACCAACGAGTTAATTGCCCTCGCTTAAATAAATAAATTTTGTAGACTACAACATGTTTAGCCCATCAAAATCCAAACCGCTCTTATTAACGTACTTCTTCAACTTGAACATACTCAGTGGATGATAGCACAGTAACATGCCTCAAACAATTGAAATCAAGTTCATAATCACATAAGAGAAGTTCATCTGAAGAGGGTAACTGGTTGTGAGCAATATGGTAATCCTGAATCACTTCCATAGACTCCTGCTTGAAGGTTGAAAATGGATATTCTTCTTTGGTTGGGAAGCTGTTGCTGAAGCTAAGTAACATAGAAGAGTCAGAAGAAGAAGCTGGTTTCCACATCATCTCTGGACTAAAAGCGCTTTTACAATTGTGATAGCCATAATACGTTGTTCGGTACAATGGAGGGTCCTCCTGAATTCTCTGCACCTGTTTGATTGCTGGACAACCCTGATCATACTTGTGAGTGCATCTGTAGTAACTCCTACACACAGTCATTATTTTGAATCATATTGAACACATACGAGTCATACATAGAAAAAAATATTTTTTGCAGGTAATAATTAATTCGAAAATGAAGATATATGTACCTGAGGTATTTTGCATTCATCGTCATTTTTTGTCCATATTTTCTCCATGCATATCCATCTTCAATCAGAACTGAGCTATTCTTCGCCCAGGTCGGTGCAGTTGATCTTATATATATATATATGAAGAAGAAAGTTCCAATTACAAAATTCTAACATAATTATTTTGCACAGCTAATGTAGTAAATCTACTATATAACTACAATATTTCTCAAGTCAATTGCAGTGTATCACAATTAATTCAGTAATTATATTACAATAATCATGGTGATTCTATCAGCTGGTTGACCTTGTCGACATGCTGTTAAAACTGCAATGACTAATTGTATTCATTTCACTTAATTATATGGGGATCGAAAATATATTTTGTGTTGCGCTATTAAGTGTTAAGGACATATATTGAGCACAATACACACTGTTTGTATTAACATAAATGTTTGAAAGTAAAACAGTTGAAATTTAATTTCAATTAAAAACTGATCACCCATATATAAAGTTGGACCGACTAAATTAGAATAACTGAAAGATTAGAGACAAAATTAACTTAACCTAATAATTAAATTAAGTACTTAGAAAATGGAGTAAAAAATCTATAAATTATTGAGCAGTAGCATTGAGAAAATTAAGATCCTTAGGAGACGATGATAATGGACTTTGGTCTCATTTTTCTAAAAGAAAGTTAAACAAAATACTTTACACGATTATTGATGGAAATAGAGACTCCTCTTTGATTAGGAAAATTGCATATATCTTTGATACTTCCTAATTTTAAAGGAGAACAAAAGGATCCATATAAGAAAATAAACAACAATAAATAATTCTTACTTTCTCTTGTGGCACCCACTTCGTCTTTTAACATTGAAGAAACTCTTGCAAGCCTCATCCTTATCCTCAGGCTTTGGGCATTTTACATCTTTGATAATGATAGGCATAGCAACCTCATCGGAGACATCATTATTATCAGTGTTCAATAACAAAAGGGTATTTGTGAATGATCTCAATACATTGCGAACAAGATCTTGGGCAAATGTTAGCATTAACCCTTCTTCTACATCTCCAAGGTGAGTGTTGGATTTATGAACAAGTACTTCAAGTAATTGGGTTGCTATGTCACGGCCTTTGATAAGCTCTTCTTCCATTGCCTTTCTACCGTTTGAAGGTTGATTCTCCATTGCTACTTTGGAAGCACAAACGTGTAGATTGGAGATCTATTGAAAAAACGAAGAGACACAGTGCCTTTTATTCAAAACAGACCTGCCCCAACTACCAATTTTAAAAGTCATTGCGCTTCAGAGTTGAGACAAAAATTTCTTAGTACAAAGGGTTAGTTCTACGAGCATAATACTTAAAATAACACAACCAATGAATATCTGTCACGTGTAGGATGGAGGGAGAGCTTGGCTAGAGAGAAGTAGTGTTTCACTTAATCAAATGCTCCTTCGTGCTTCTTAATATAAGATTATTTATAAAGTTTTAAATATATTTATATCATATTTGATTATCTTTTTAAAAATATTTTTTTATTTTTAAAAATATAATACAATATAAATATATATTATATTTTAATTTTAAAAACAAAAAAGGTGATAAGCATGCTCTTAGAATTTTTTTTACATATTTAATAGATCGAGTTTAACTTTAACTAAAGATAAATTTAAAATATTTAAATTAATTTTTTGAAGTTAATACATTAATTAAGTTTAATAACTTTTTTAATGTAAGTGATTTTAGTTAAAAAAATCCTTGTAAAAAAAACTAGTGGAATTAAATACAATTTTTAAAACAATGCCTTCACTACCTTAGTCTACCTAAAATGGAGATGACAGATGTGCTCATACAGCTTACTTGTCAAGCTGTAAAATCATCCGTCGCAAAGTATAATCTTACCCTTTGGTTTTTGTCATGGTGGAACTGTGGGAGGCCACCATGTTCAGTCAAAACACAAGTGAAGGTTTTAGCTTGGGCAGTTGGAGGGTAAGGATCAACACAGCTAAAAAAACTCAGGAAAAAACTACACCTTAGCCACTCTATTGAAAGGAGTGGGAGTACCATCCAAAGTAAAAGAAAGAAAACATAAAAAAAAAAATCTTCAATTCCCTGTACAAAGTAAGATATGTATGCAGCTATGCTTAGGGAGTTTAATTTGTTGAATATTTATTTTGTTAACTTCAGCTTTTTAACATTTATAAATTGAAAATTTTTATAAAAAAATATATAATTATTGTATTGAAATTATAAAAATATAATAAATACTTTTTTTTCTAATAAAATTTTACTATTATTAACTGTTTATCTTCAATTCTAAGGGTTGAAGTTAACAAAATCTTTATGTTAATTATATTTAATTAATTTCAAATATTTATTTGTAAATCATTTATTAGTAAATAATGTTGTGAATAACACAAAACAGTACCCTAATGGCTCAATACCCTTGTTGGCAGTTGGTAATTAGCACTTCCAGATCTGCAGCGTGAATAAGTCTTATATTTTGAATTTCCCATGACAGCTCCATAATTAATGCCTTAGTTGTAGTTGGCACATCTGGAATGTGACTAAACTGATATCTTTTGATTGGTTCTGTTTGATTATCTTAAAGCTTTGATTGCGAAAAGAACGGTGATTTCATTACAAGTGAACCAAAAATTATATTCAAATTTATTATCCTAAAACAAAAAAAAAATGAAGTCATAGGGTTTCTAGCGCCGTTTATCATTTGAAAAAAAAAAAAAGAAGCCATACGCCGTTACTTTGTGACAGCGACACAGGTATTGTTACTAACTAGGTTTATTAGATTCCTTTTTTCTTTTGAGTGATATGATTATAATTTTAGTGCCTTTGATGCAAAGACAGTCGACGGAAACATAAGGTAAGGCTCATAATGGTCAAATGAAGCCTCGATAGTTTCGGTTTACAGTAGTTAGCTACGTACCTCAAAGTTTATGAATATCAAGGAAAATGTTTTAGGAATGTTATGGTCGCCATTCAATATTATCCACGCTTATTTTTAGACTATAACCCAATTTACATTGGTAAACTTAAGTTCAATAAAAATCAGTATAATTTTTTTATAATTTTAAAAAAATTATTTTTCAAATTTTAGAGAAATTAAATAATTTTGTATACTGATTTTTTTCTTTTTAAAGAATTTTGCTAGAAATTTATCTAAACTAATCTACTAAGTTTAAATGTGCTTATAGATAATTTTTTTGTACGGCTTAAATTAAAAAGATGATAAATGAAAGAACTTTAAAAAATAAATAGAGAAATATAAATTATTTTAATTTATGAAATAAGTTTATTTTATTTTATTACTTAAATTTTAACTTTTATAAAAATTATTGAGAAATTTATCTACAATAACCTATTTTAAGAAACTTACTTCCAAAAAAAATGTCCTAATGCATGTTAATCGCTCAATTGAGTGCTGCAGTTCAATCTGCTTAGTCGCCTAAAAAGTTCTCAATAACGAGAAGTATAGAGGATAACACAAACTCCAACAAATCAGACTATTTGCAAGCATCCAAGCAATATTTTGTTTTTATGTTTTTCATAATAAATTCCTTTGTATGTCGTTGAATTGTATTGTAGGAATATTAGATTTGATATAAATATTGTAAAAAGAATAAGAAAGTAAAATAAATCAATTTTCTCTTCAAATTAGATTTCAATTATGCATCTCAGCTACTTGAAAAGTTAAATAAAAGATCTTTCAATAAAACATGAGATGTACAAATTATTAATTTTAATTTTCATAATAAGCTTAATTTATTTTATGTTATTTGTTCACAAGTATGTATTGATTAATTTATCTAAATTTATCCTTATCTAAATTAATCTTTCTTTTTTTTTTACCAATGTTTGTTTTGTATAAATTCCAATACTTATTGTCTATGAAATCCAACAATTTTCCACAAGGTAATAAATGCAATATTTTCATTCGTTGGTCATATATCCAACTATCTTCTAACTTAATTACTGCGTGAAATATAAAATTAAGGTGTATTTTTTACTCCTTTGTACATAGCAATCTTAAAAGAAATAGAGGATCCGATATAATCTTAATCTTAAAAAATAGTTTCCAGACATTATTTCTATGTTAGGATATAACTGATCTTTGAGTCTAATTTCTCCTAAATTTTATTTTACATAGATTGAAGTTATAAGCTATTTTCTATTTATTTATATATAAAAATGTGGTTGTCGTCTAAATTGAATTTGCAAACCAGAAACACACCGCATGCAAATCTGGACAATGAAAGGTTTGTCTCAACAGCTAGGATCAAATAGGTTAATTAAAAAAAACAAAAAACTGGTTTTGAGTTCAATTCTTGCCAATGGTAATTTCTTTGATAATTATTTTGTAAGTGTCACTTTAATTAAGTCTTCCTTGAATTATGTGTTGACTCTTAAACAGGGTAAAATTTTCCCCCTAATAACCATAACGTCCTTTGTCCAAAAGAAAGGGTCAAGGATACTATATAGACACCAGAAATCGCATCCTTTGCGATGAGAATATGAGTTGACAATAATTACTAATAATTAAGGAAGACAAGTTGAAAATTTAGAATAGTTGTTAAAAAAAGAAGAAAAAAAACTCTCAACTCATTTTTTTGGGGTACTTTTTGGCGAATAGAATGGATAGATCGAATATGTGTAGTAGATGGAAAGTTTCATGAATGGATTAATCTGACCTGCAAACCGAGATTATATTGATATTAGTCTCTTATATATCTCACTCCATCTCAGTAAGGTAAAATTAAGTTACCACCAATCTTATCGATTTATCTTTCACTCCCATATAAAGCAATAATGCTATTTGTGATGGCATTATTTATTTGAGCTTCCAAGTGCTTTACAAGTATATGCCCATCTTCCATTGTATCCATCCATCAACACCAGCAATGCAATTCAAGCTCGTTTTAAAATATTAATTTGCTTTTGAATGGGAGTTGCTGGTTTCAATCGCCCATTGAATTAAAATCATGTTGATCACTTAAGCAGATCGGTACGGCATAAATAGTGGATACTTATTTGATGAAAAAGACAGATATAAATGATAACTTTTTATATTGGAAGATTATTGAGTTTCATTTAATAGAAAATAGAAAAACCGCTTAAACATTGTAAAAGATTTTACCTATTATATATAAGCCAACTAATAAAGATAGCATCAAGCTCTGCTCCAAGAAGATGAAGACAACAATGCTAGATAAGGAAAAGTTCAATAACGCCGCAATAACCAATTAAATTTTTAACAACTTGGCGTACATCAATAGCCAACTATATATTTATTACTATCCAGTGAACCTGTCGAATGCATAGGAATTTTTTATAAAAAAAATAGTTAAAATATTTGTTAATTAAAAGTCAAAGTTTAATCCATTTAGTGAATCTATCTGGCCATGGTTCTCCTTAGTTTTATCATGTTGTAAAAGAACGCATGTAAAGGCTTGCTTCATGGATCAAGCCAATCTTAAACCTTGTAACTTCACATGAAGCCTTTAATTCATTTACCATTCTGACAATTTTTTATATTAATGAAAATGTTTGTCAGCATAGTTAATATTTATTAGTGTAGTTAAACAAAAAGTTATATTAAGGAAAGCAGATCCATATTAAACATTAATATATGACCCTCTTACACAAAATCTCATCTCTAATATCTATTCATTTCTTTTTTTTAAAAATAATTTATCATTTAATAAAATAATTGTTGGATGTTGCTGTGTAAACTATAGACAACCTTAATCGGAAAAAGTTTCATTTAATGAAATTCCTCAAAAGATGTATTATTAACTCCATTACACAATAATTTTATAAATTTTGTCCGATAAAGTTCAAATTATCAACACTTTTGTTCCTCAATCCATTCAAATAACTATTGGAAGAGAAAAACGCATTAACCAAACATGAAAAAGAAAAAAGACCAATTAACCATTGAAACTTGAAATGATCATAAAGTAAAACACCGAACCGATAAAATAAAATAAAATTAGACACTCACATGTGGTTTTAAGTAAGTGTAAATATATATAAGCAGCAAGTGTAAAAAGTCTTTAAAGTAAATCGAAAAAAATATTCTAACTGGGACAGGGAGTCTCAAAGAAAGTAGGAATTGGGCAAAGCACTCTTGCCTTTGGACAGATAATAGACTCTGGGTCCAATTACTTTAAAGGAATATTTATTAGGCTGTATCATTTATAAAAAGATAAGCCCCTCTTTATATATATATATATATATATATATATATATATATATATATATATATATATATATATATATATATAGAGAGAGAGAGAGAGAGAGAGAGAGAGAGAGAGAGAGAGAGAATGGTCTGGTCATATAGGGAATTGGAAATAGAGGAGAAATATCTTTGTCTAGATGAAGAGTCACTGATTGAATTATAAAAATGTAATAAAATAATCTTATTCTTGATCAATATCTGTAACGGCATGGGCTGGTTTCCACATCTTTAAATAATAATTCAATTAAATATTGTGTAAGGTGTTTTGTTTTTTTTTTTTTTTTTGGGTAACTGTTGGTGGACAAGGTTATTCACGAGGTTAAATATCTTTGACAGGAATATAATTTCATATTCACAGGAAATTAAATGTGCTTTCTGCGGGGGTCAAGAAGAGTTTAGGGTATATATTTTTGTTCAAATGCTTAATTTTCTTCATATCAAGTTCGGACTTCCTTTTATACATGGATTGGATTTTTATTTTTTAATGCTTTTCCCTATAATTGCTCTGAGCTCTTTCCATCATGATCTTATCAGAGGGAAAAAAAGGGAAAAGAAAAGTCGATAACTGCTGTGATAATTTGGAGTTTGGACTCTTTAGTTTGACGGTAAAATGTTTAACAATGGTAGCTTTGATTTGACTAGTGCACTGGACTTGACTAGGATTTCATGGTCTTGGTGCAACAAGATGGGGTGCAGTGAGAATTTTATTTTTAGATTAGTGTATTAATTCTTTGAGACCATAAGGTGAAGATGTATAATATAATTAAAAGAATATAAGGGTTGGAGCATTCTTTTATTAAAAATTTCTATGCTTATAAATAAAAAGTTAAATTTCACATAAAAATGGATAAAATATGATTTAGTTATGTCTTTATTTAAAAGAAAAGTTGTTTAGATATATAAAAACAAAAGGAGAAAATGAAGTACAGATTTTTATTTTTTAAAATAATAAATATTTATTGAGTGTGTATATCTTTTTTCTTTTTTAATTTGAAGTGAAACAATACTTTTATAGGAGTAAAACCATTATAAATACAGCACACTATTTTATAATATTTTTCAAATTATATACTTTTCCAATTCCCATACCTTATTTTATAAAGAAATTTGTAACATTAGTGCTTTTATTATGATATATACACCTTTATCACAATTATTAATAAGCTATTAATTTTTTAAAATATTTAATGGTGGTAAAGATCTGTTTGAACTGTTTGTGACTCTTATAAATGTAATAACATTAGTGCTTTCAATTTATTTCAATAAATGTTTTTATAATTTATTAAAATAAATTATTTAATTTATTCTAATAAATTTTATTATTAAATTTAAGACAAAAATTATAATTTTTTTAAAATAAATACTTAAAGATACAACTATCCACATGCAGCTTAAGTAATAATAATAATAATAATAATAATAATAATAATAATAATAATAATACTAATAAAGAAATTTTTTGTCACATTAATCTTTGTATTATTTTGACAAGACTTAAGGTACAAAGAATTTATTTATGAAATACTTAATACAATGGATCTAAGCTATTTTTTTCCAAGATAATGGCTAGTCTCCCTTGCTTGCCCAGAAATAAGTTTATATAGCAAAACATATAGCTTGTCGTCAAAATTCAATTTTCTCATAAGCATTGCTAAGTTCAACAGATTCAGTTGATGACAGCATAACATGCCTCAAATATTCAAAACAAATATCATAATCACATGATAGGAGGTCTTCTGACGAGGACAATTGATTCTGAGCAATATGGTCTTCCTGAATCACTTCCATGGGCTCATGTTTTGTTGATGCAAGTAACGATGATGAAAACAAATGTTCATGTTTGCTTTGAATGCTATTATTAAAGCTAAGTAATATGGAAGAGCTAGAAGGAGAAACAGGTTCCAAAATTATCTCAGAATTTAAAGAGCTTTTGCACGTGTGATGACCAAAATATGTTGTTCGATAGAGTGAAGGGTCATCTTGAATTTTCTGGACCTGTTTGATTGCTTCGCATCCTTGATCGTACTTGTGAGTGCACCTGTAGTAGCTCCTGCACACATATATTTCAGTCATATTGGATCCATCATTTGGGCTGATAATATACTCCATCTTATTCAATTTTTCAGGAATATATGTTAACTAATTTAAAATTACAATATTGGAAGTATTTTAATACATTTAAATTTTAACATAGCTAAAATAATTTTATTGCGTCTAAAATACTTTTTTGTCTTTATTAATATGATTTTTAGGAAAAGGAGGATGGTATTTTAGTTTAAAGTTGAGAAACCTCCACACTAAAAAAATACTTATATTTGCCTTTATACTTTAAAAAACTGAGTAAGGGTTCAAACATATAATTTATCAAATGCACGTAAAATATTGATTTGTTTTATTCAACAAATTCCTTAAGGTTTAAAATATTTATTTTAAAAAAATTGAATGCATGATAAGTCTTAATATACAATTATTGATATTTTAAAAAATATTTTAATACGTTAAAATTTTAGAAATATTTTAACGATTTCAAAATTATACTTTATTATTGTATTATTAAAAAAAAAAAATAGGGTGTTTGAAAGCAGAAGGATAATTTGCAATGAAAAAATACCTGAGATATTTGGCATTCAATGTCCTTTTTTGTCCATACTTTCTCCAACCATAGCCATCTTCGATCTGTATTGAGCTGTCCCTCTCCCATGTTGGCGCAATTGATCTTATGTATGAAGACAAAAGAATATCAATTTTAGTATTCTTACCAAAATATTTTTCTCTTCCAACTAATCCAATAATCGACTGAATGTTTATGACATCATTAATCAACGAGATATTATAGTTAATTAATATCAATCATGGATGGTCATTTATGTGTCGAGGAAGTGGCCAAGATGCAGTTTAAGTCAGCAATTGGATAATGGTAAACGGTTCGGTTTTCCGTGGTATTTATAATAGCATTATTTTATGCCAAAAGTATCAGGGGAATCACCGAATCAATATAGTTTGAAATTTGTTAACGGGCAACTTATGTAAAAGAATAAAAATATATATATTTAAATGAAGCATAAAAGTATTGTTATTTTAAAAATTCATATTATATTTAGTAGATCTATAAAGTACTTTAATTGGATTTACAAATGTTACTAAGATTTTACTCGAATGAATTTTAATTAATTTATTTATTCGATGATCTATTTATTTTTGTCAAGTTCTTAAAGAAGATGATCGGATCCAAATCCCATGACAATAATAATCACACATAATTTGTTAGCAAAACATGGAATTATAATAATTCTTACTTCCTCTTGTAGCACCCTCTTCTATTTTTAGGATTGAGAGTCTTGCGAATCTTGCAAGTTTCAACCATATTCTCCAGCTTTAGGGAACTGGTGGACAAAGAAACATCTCTGAGAGTGATAGAAGCTACGACATCATCGGAGACATCATCATGGGAGCTCAAGAGCAAAAGGGTATTCGTGAATGAACACAAGATCTTGCACACAAGATCTTCAGCAAAATCTAACACTGACTTTGACCCTTCAATATCTCCACGTTGACCATACGATTTATGAGCAAGTACTTCAAGTAACTGATTTGCCATGTCACGACCTCTGATTAGTTCTTCTTCCATTGCCCTTTTGCCATTTGGAGGCTGATTCTCCATTCCTATTTAGGAAGTAGTGTGTTAAATGTTATCAACACTAAACAAACATTATGGCAGAGAAACCGAGATGTTCTCCTTTTATTCAACGTGGCACTTCCCCCACTTGCAAATATAAAAAAAATTAGAACACGTGAGAGTATAGACAAAAATTCCTGTGCACAAATTGACAGGTTTCGTTCACGTGCCAATGCATTACGTGCAGCACACGCACTACTAAGAATTTGCAACGTAAGCAAGAGGGTTTTCTGTGATTGGATGGGTCTAAAGAGTGGGTAGTGAAGTAGTGTGCTTGTTTTGGTGGAGACGCAGGATGAGCTCATGAGGCTCACTTCATGCTTAGGACATAGATATCTGTTGGACAATAATACCCTTCCGTATTGCATTTTCTGAAAGTGAGAGCAACCCAGTTTTAGTTACAGTGGGAGGGTAATTTGGGATGTATGCATTGTAGGGGCAACCTCATTTTGTATGGAGTCTCTCCATTATTATTGCACGTTTTAAATGTGACTGATGGCGATATATTTTGAATGGTCAGTTCAATACTTTGACTGCGGAAGAGTCAGTTTCCTCGTAAGTGCATCTCATACGAGGAGATCATAGTCACATATATTATTATCTGTTATTTTTCAAAAAATATTTTTATTTATTTATAATTTATAAAAGTTTAAGACAATGTTATTTATTTTTGGGTGTAAAAATTTGTTTGAAAAAGACAATTATTTATATGAGAAAAGCATTTACATCAATAGTTGTGAAAAACTATAGAGAAAAAGAGGTCGCAAAAAAATGTGAATGATAGTTGTTGTAAAAGTGTGATAGTAAAAAAAATAGTATGTAATTTGCTTATTACTACATTTATCAATTCTTCGTTGCATGTAGCAGTTTGGAGTTAATTCTAGTGCAAGCCTTATGTAAGATTTAGAGATCAGTGTGCTAAGGAAGATAATGATATTCGTTTGGCATCTATTGTTTAATACAGTCCTGTTATGAAAGAATTTGACCAAACGTAGATTAATGGTTTCTTCGAAAGTTTGTGGCTTGTGTGATACTAAAAATGAGGACATATTGCATCTATTTTTTGCATTACAGTGTCTCCATAAAACTGTGGTACATGGTATTTGAATGGTTTAATGTCAATTTATACTTACCTGAAAGTTTACATGATACTCTACTAATCATGTGTGGAATCTAATGTAAAAAAAAGAAATAGAAAGGAGTTGTAATTGTATGATTTGTAGTAATATAGACTATTTGACTTCAGCAAAATAATATTCTATTCAATAATAGTATGTTAAATGCTAGTGAAATGTTCGATTCTATTAAATATCATTCTTAAAAGTGGCTTACAGCAAAACCTTTGAAAAAATGATTGTATATATAAATTAGATTAATGATCTTTTGACATGTATTGTTGATTTTCTTTAGAGTTACAATAGGTTAGAAACTTAAAGTACCTTTATACTCTAATTTTATTCTTAATAAAATATTGATGTTTAACAAAAAAATTGTTATTTATTTTTAAGAATTAAATTCTTAAAATAAGTAAATAAATAAATAATAAAAGAGATAAGAGAATTTAACGAGAAATCATATAGTAATTTTAATATTAATGAAAACACTAAATTTATTTCTTAATTTTCGTACAAATTTTTAAAGTGCCAGATAAAAAATATGAATGAAATAATTTAAAATAAAATAAATTCCAATAAATGCTTTGAAGAGATTGGTTAATGAATTTAAAGTAAATATTTTTATTAAGAAGTATTATTAATGTATTTTATAATGATTTATAATGCATTAACTATTACTGAAATACATCTTAAAAATACTAGTTAGCGAAATACTTACAATAATACCACCAAAATTTGATATAATTAATAGATAATTGAGTATTTTAAAAGGTTAATTAGTATTTATTTTTGGGTCATATGCATCAAAAGATCATTTATATTGATCCTGTGATACAACAAAAACTACAATTACATATTGTTTAAAAAAAAATTGTTAGTTATTTAAATTTTTAAAACTAAAATAAGTTATGAGAATTAATTAAATTGACAAAAGGAACAAAACTAAAGATGTGAACAACGCTTCAGAATTTTTAAAAAATATTACTGTTTTTATTATTTTTATTTAAGAAAATCAACGATAAAGTGTTTTTATATTTAACTACAAGTTTAAAAAATAAAATTTTGACTTTTTACATTTTTATAATTTTTATTTTTGCACTTTCAACTAGAAGATAAAAACATATTTTTTTCTTTTCATTTTTGAATTTCTTTATTAACTAATCTTATTTGTTTAAAATTCTAATAAAATCAGAAAATACCTTTTTTTACAATTTTTGTATCTATTAATTATCTAATTTTACTCTTTTTTTTGTGATGAACTTAATCTATGAAAAACGAATATAGAGAAGGGAACTAAATCAACAGAGTTCATACAGTCTTGGCTCACACTAATTAAGGACAATAAGCCTAACTTAAGCCCTGATTCCCTGCTCTCAATTCCATTCTATGGCTTTAAATGTTATGGGAATAAAAAGGCTTTAGATGTGAAGAGGAATTAAAGTAATAGAATAAACTATGTATTCACTTTATTTTTATATATAATTTTATAAATTAATTTACTTGATAAAAATTTATAAACCAACAATTAAATTAATTAATCTTTTATTTATAAAAAATTATTAAATTATTTAAGTGTCTAAATTTTGATATTGGCTAATTATGACATACATAAATACACATATATCACATGAAAGTTTTATGTTGTTAAAATCAAAGTTTTATAAAATATTATTAAATATTTCATTTTATCAAATTTTGAATTTTTAAATCGATCTTATCATTTTATTAAATTAATATTTTTTTTACATTTTAATCTTAATAATTTATTACAAGACAATTAAAACATTTCTAATAATAAACTAACTTAAAATTTATCGAGGAAAGAGGGTAAGGTAGACAGTCAACTTAGACCTTACTTAATTACTTGATAGAATAAATGCTGGATTAGTGGTGAGTTATAAGAATATTGAAGAGAGAGCATATGTAAATTATTGTGTTGTTCTACATGAAAAGTTCTTATAAAATACTTTCTCCAATTCTTTTTATAAGAAACAAAAGACTAAATCACTAAAACTAAAAAAAGTAATTAAGTATGTTATGTTTTTTATAAATATAAATTTTATTTTAAAAATACTCATAATATTAAATAATGTAGTTAGTAATTTGTATATTTAATGATACTAATAAAAAAATGGTATAAAAGAATTTTAACAATTAATGCATCTTGAATTTATCATTTGTTTCTTATAATAAAGACTAAGAAAATGTTTCATTTTGTTTTTTATAAAAAAGACCAGAGGAAATATTATATTTAATCAACAGATTCATAATTAATACTATTGTGGACAAAAAATTATTGTCATAAACAATTATCATTTTAACAATAATTTTAGAAAATAGTTGCCTAAATTTTATAAAATCATTTTATTACTTATAAAAATACTTTTAATTATTATAACTTGTACTTTTAACATTTTGTCATTAAGATTAGAAGTCCTTTGTAATTGACTTGTAACTTCAAGTACTTCGATTATTTTATTAAGAGAAATTATTCAATTACTCCCTTATATAACTTGTTTGAATTCAACTAATTGATTTTTTTACACTTATCATAAGATAATGCTGATAATTAAATTTGTCAAATTTTATCCATGTGAATTTTTCAAATGATTTAGTGATGTTTTGATGATCAATTTGAGAGCTACATTACTGATACGCATAATAATATACAGTGAATTTGCATTTTTTTAAAAATAAATAATATTGTAAAAAGGGTATTTGAAACTCGAAGATATGTTTATTCATTAATTTATCTTTTTAAAGTTAATTCTTTGTTACAACCATAAAAAAAAAACGAAAGAGTAATTACCTTCATTAATTAAGAGTAATTAATCCATCACCAAACAATAATGGAATTCTTTATTTTATTTGTCATTTAAATTTAAAAACATAACAAAATTACTTATAATTTTCTAATATATTTTAAAATTTATTACTTTGATGTTTCATACTTATTTTTTTTTTCTTTTTCTTTATAAGGATAAAATAATCATTAATACTATCTTAAAATTGAAAATAATGAAAAAATAGATTATAAAAAAGTTCTTTTAAATTGATGTATGAAAAGAAACAAAGGTAATATTTAAAGAGTCAGATAGAACTATCCTCAAAAGCATAATTCAGATTAACTAGAAGCATTTGAAACAGAAGTATTGGTTGATTGCTTAGTTAATATTTATCAAAATAAATTTTAATATTGAAAAAGTTTAAAATAAACACAAATGGAAAAGTTCTAAGAAACTCACCCAAAAACATATAGACAATATAAGCTACTTTCAAATAGCTGCAAAGTTCTTAAAATTATCATTCAAGAATCGTCGAAAACTTAAAGTAATAGCTCAGATGATACCTTGTCTTGCATGTACCTCATGATCCTACTTGCTATGACATTCTCTAAATTTTCATGATTTGGCCTCGAGTATTGTTGTCTCATTTAATTTCAGCTGAAGAACGCAAAAGGATATTCAAAAGCAGAGGCCTCATTATGCCACTTTTCTTATTGAAAGTTTTGAAAAAGATAATTCGCAAACGTGCTTCCTCTGATTATAGCACTTCTGTTCTGTTTGCCTTTCAGCGCTACCAAAGACTGTTCCTAGATAGCTATAAGGTCATCGATCTTCAGTTAGAAAAATAATTAAATTCAACTTTTTATTTGGAATCTTAAGACAAACTCGACAAATGGAAGTGCTTAACCAGCTTTTTTCACCTTCCAACACATTGTGATTTGTGTGAGAAATGGCGACCAATGAACATCCACAACGTTATTCGGATTTAAGAGTGACGTCACAACGCTTACGTAAGGGCCTCAAGCTATGACGAGAGTTTATTTAATTATTCAATTATGTGCATTAATTATATTGTTGATGAGATAAGTGCTCGAGCCATCTCCAATTCTAAAAGCAATTAATTAATCAATTAAATATATCACACTTGATGAGGAACGTGCCTGTGGTAGCTCTTATCGTTAGCATATAGACTAGAGTCATATTTTTTAAAATAAAAAAATTGCTAAATTTTTTAAGGTGCTTTTTGAAGTTATATAATAGAAGTTTATACATTATAAATTATATAATTTAACGTATTAATTTTTTGTTATATGTCTTTAAATATATATTTAAAATCATAAAATAATTATCAAAGTAGAAAAGAGACTACATCATATGAAAAAATTTTAAAATGTCTCGTATTAATTAAAAATATAATTCAAATATCTTTTATAAAACTAAGTCAAATTTTTTTCAATACTTTGGATTACTCATCCAAACTACTGATAAAATGAATTCACCTTCCGACTTAGCTTTGATTCATTAACCGCACCATAATTAACTCAATCAAATTTTCAAAGCCTAAACATCTCTATTCAAAAGTATTCCGTTACTATGCAGCTATAGTGACTCATAATAGTAAACCGTGCTATATATACACTCTTCCTCATGCCTAGAGTATTTTTAGAAAATATATTTTTTATTTTAAAAAATCAATACAAAATTATTAAAATATCTATATTTTTATTTTATAATTATGACCAATTAATAAGTAAAATAAGATAAATAATAAATTATTATTTGAAATATAATATAATAAATTTTGTCTTATCTAAGATAAGATAAAACTGACAGACTGTCATCTATAATTAAGTAAAATCAATCAATCGTGTCACTTATAATATAAAATAAAACTGACAAACTGTCATCTATAATTAGGTGAAATCGATCAATCGTGTCACTTATAATATAAAATAAAATTGACAGATTGTCACTTATAATATAATAAAATTATGTTTGTTAGATTGTATAAGTAAAATTTAATAATTTTTTATTTTAATAAATAAATAAATATCAAAATTTCATCAAAATATATCAATTAATTTAATATCAATTAATTCAAGTGTTGTTATTATTATTATTTTTTTTTTCTTTTGCAACTTTCTAAATACAGATTATCTTAATCCCTTCACAGCAAATCACATCCCCTTTCTGCCTAGAAAGATTCTCTTCTAACATAGGATATGTGCAAGTTTTATAGTGTGGCTATTTTAAGGAAATAGAAGTTAAACAATGATAGTATCTACTCTTGAAAGCAACTTTGCCAATATTTCAAATTAGAGGTGTTTTAAAACTCTTAAATTAGTTGAATGTTTATTACTTCCAATGAAATAATTTTTAATAATGAAAAATAAAAACTAAATTCAAATAAAGTTAGACCAAAATGAATTTTTTTAATCCTATTTTCACTTTATATTCTGGTGAAATTTTGGCATGTTTCTTGTTCAAGAGGGATCCAGAAACAGCTACAGAGAATCTCAACAAAATTTTTATAAAATAAAATCATAAAATTATTGTGAAAAAAATGAAATCTCTGAATATGGATTACACCCCTTGCTGTTACTAAAGCAGCTGCAGCTGCAGCTGCAGATCGGGACACGTTTGCCATTTTTAAGAGAATACTGAGTGTTCTACCAATATATAGAGAGCATACAAGTGCTAGGCCTCTACAGTTTGCACTATCCCATTTCTGAAATGATTCGTGTATATAGTTATGTTCAGATATATAATAGCATAATTTTATTAATAATAGTATATGAATAACTCTCTTAGAGCAAGATTTTAAGTCCAAACCTTGTGTATTGACCCGCGTGTGCAAGAAAAAAGTTTACTTTAAATGATATATAAGGTTTCAGGTCCAAAACTTGTGTGTGAAAAAAAAATCTTGTTGAGAGAGTTAATAACTTGAATTAGTGCATAAATCACAAGAATTACCTTCAAATGTATTCCTCTCTATCTTGAATGTTGGAGCCATGGTTTGACCATGAAGAATTGCTATGTTTCGAGAAGAAAAGGTTATTAGTGAACGATCTGCGAATTTTCTTGCAAAAAGCGCAATATGAAGAAGTTGATTTGCAAAACCGCGTCCTGTGAGAAGCGCTTCTGTTGCCTATTATGCTAAGTGAAGGTTGATTCTCTATCCTTAAAGAATGAAGGTTCGTGCTTTGTGAAAGAATGAAGAGCAGCTCACACACATCTGCAATCAGCAACTAATTAAGAAGATTAACTTCCATTGTTTGATAAGCGAAATCTGAGATCTTGTGTGGAAAGGAAGAAAGACAGGTTAACATAAGATTAAAGACAGAGCTGAGTAAAATTCCATTTCGGGATTACATAATCCCAAAAACTGACAATTAATCTTTAGTCAATTGAATTTATATTCTGAAATACGTGTTAAATACGTTTTTCACTAATATTTACAATATCCATTTCTTTTTTTATTTTTTTATTTTTTAAAAATTATTTTTTATTTGTCTATTTGGAAGTTTAAAATAATATGCATTATTGTAAAAGTTCAAAATAATTTTAATACAATGAAGATATTGATTATATTTTTTTAATCTATATATCATGCTTCACAGTAAATAGGCCAAAAAGAAACAAAAAATAATAATACTTTTTGAGCAATTACTTGTTCAATTTTTATGTTCAACTTAATTTTAATAAAGACACAAATTATATAATTAAAGGATTTTGAATATAAGCGTGTATTTAATTTCATTGAGACCGTTTCTTTTATATTGAATAAGAATGAGGATTATACTATAATAAACTATTTTTTATATAAAATAGAAATTATTGTAATCTTAATAAATTTAAATTTAAATTTAATTTTTAAATTAACACGCCATATTATTAAAGATACCCTTAATTCAAATAATTTTTTTTATAATTTATTTTTTAAAATCTAAAAATTATACTTAATTTATTCTTATTTAATAAATTCAGAATTATTTTTTTATAAAAGGGAAAGGATATATTAATCATATATATCGTTTTTTATACCATCAAAATTGTTTCTTATAATATGATCACTTTATATTAGTAGACAGTAGTATGGTCTCACAATATTTATTCTAATAATTGAGATTTTATTAATAAAAGTTATACCTATCAAAATAAACATAATATATAACCATTAATATATATATATATATATATATATATATATATATATATATCAAATAATACAGAGCATGAAGATAAGATAAAAATATGTCTACGTGTTTATATTTATTATATTTAGATACAACTAACACATTCTCATGTGTGTGTTGAATTTTAAAAATAATGCTATTATTTTTTTAAAATTATTGGATGCATAATTAAAAATTATATTTTTTTTATTAAAAATATATCTTTCAATATTATTAATGCATTTAATTGATATAGTAATATCTTATAATTTATAATAAAAATTTATTATATATAATTTTTTTATTGTGTATCATTAAATAATAAATTAAAAAAACAAGACTAGAGAAAAGTTAACGGCTACTCTCGAAAAACAAATTTACAATTATTTTTAGTTAGAAGTATTTCATATATTACTTGTAAACTTAGTTAATTGTTTACAAAATATTTAAGAACTAACTTGTATAATGAAAACAAGTACAGATGATAAGAGTTCAGAAAAAATAAATTAAAATATTTATAAATATAATATTTTATAATTAATGCTTATTTATATTTTCAAAATATATAATATTAAAATAAAATATTTAATACAGTGTAAAGTAAATTTTATATTTTATAAAATTTAATAAATTTGATATATTTAATAAATTTGATATATTTAAAAAAAAAAATTAAATTAATAAAAACTAATAATTATTAAATTAGTCAAAAATTATTTTTAAAATAAGTAAATGCCTCAAGAAAAGTATAGTAAAAGTAATATAATATATTTTAAACCCGTTTTTCTATATGATGCAAATTTTCAAAGCGCTATAGTCAAAACTAACTTTTTCTCGCATCAATGTGGTGTACACGAGGAAACCGCAATCAACGAAAATGCAAATAATTGCAAAATTGGAGAGTGAGGTCATGAGGATAATGGAATAACTGGCCTAGTGTTAATAACCCGTCTAGGATATGTCTCAATATATTATAAATTTTAATAAAAACATTTTTAATTCTTTAATCATTATTCTTAAGACCATAATTAACAAAATCATTTTTACATGTGTGATTTTTAAATTCATTATATCATTATTTTGTATTTACTTATTATCATAATTTATTATAATTTTTTTAGACTACAAATATTTAAAATCACATGTTAAGATGGAAGAATTTCTTACCAATTGATTCATATAGTATTATACTTTTTATTTTAATATATATATTTTAATAAAAATTTATTAGTTTTTAAGATTTAAACTATTTTAAAAGTCAAAGTTAACAAAACTATTTTTTATAAGATTTTTTAGATTCAATTCTTAAAACTGAATTTACACATAAAATAATAATAATTTTATTAAAAATACATTTAAGTTTAAAAAATATAATAAATATATATTTTTAATACAATAGTATTATTATTAATTACATACCACTAATTCTAACATTTTCTTTTTCTGTAAGATGATTTTTATATTTGCAAGTGGGGAAGAGCTGAGTTGAATAAGAGGTGAGTGTTTCTGTTTTCTCCCCTAATTAAAGTTTATTGGGTGTTGTTAACGCTTTGACAGTACTACCAAACTAGGTAATGGAAAATCAGCCTTCAAACAGCAAAAAGGGAATGGAAGAAGAACTAATCAGAGGGCGTGACATGGCAAATCAGTTACTTGAAGTACTTGCTCATAAATCGAATGGTCAACTTGAACACGATAAAGGGTCAAAGTCAGTGCTATCTTTTGCTGAAGATCTTGTGCGCAAAGTGTTGTGTTCATTCACCAACACCCTTTTGCTCTTGAACTCCAATAATGATGTCTCCGATGAGGTGACGGCGTCTATTACTGTCAAAGATGTCTCTTTGTCTACGAACAGCCTAAGACCGGAGACTTCGAATGAAACTTGCAAGTGTCGCCATATTCTCAACACCAGAAATCGAAGAGGGTCCTACAAGAGGAAGTAAGAACTATAATTCATCTACCCCCATCACACATTAATTAATAAATTCCTTTAAATCATGCATCTATTGAAATAATAAATATTTTTAATAAAAAAATTATTTTTAATTGCTTACCTATAACTCTCGACCTCTCGTTATTGATGTTAACATTTTTTATTTAAACTTGTATTTCTTGCAAATTGTGTGTGATTATTGTTGTTTGGGGGAAAATGAAATGATCCAAATTCATTTCTCAGCATACTAATATTTAAATTTACCTATTTTCTGTCTTAACTCTCAACTGTCAAGTGTAATTTTTTTTATTCATCATTTTTAGGTAATTGAATATTTTGGTTAAATCGAATTCTATGTTTAAAGAACTTGATTTGATTATCTATCTATCTATAAACAAAACCGTATTCTTATTCATCCAATTTAGAAACATTTGTCATGTGTTGTTTTAAACTTCTAGTTTTTTTGGGTGAAGTTGAGGGTCAAACTTAATTGAGAGAAATATAAAGAATAATGTTAGAATATCCTACAAGATTTTTTAATTAATCTTAAGGAAATTTAGAATCATTTTATTGTGATTTAGAATTATTTAATTACAAAAGAATTATTGTTTTAAACTTCATCTGCAGACATAAATGACCATGATTACACAATTATTGGGGTAAATAAGAATCCTACAATTGATATTTTTGTATTCATATATAAGATCAAATGCGCCAACATGGGAGAAGGACAGCTCAATACTGGTTGAAGATGGCCATGAATGGAGAAAGTATGGACAAAAAATGACATTGAATGCCAAATACCTACGGTATTCTTCCCTTTCAAATTCCCCTTCGTCTTCTGTGTGTGCATCCGGCTCCCGTTCATGTATGTATGTGGGAGTATTAACTAAATTATTCATTGATTATTCAACTTTAAATTATAAAATACTTAATTAAGTTTATTGATTTTATTAAATAACTAAATTCAAATTTAGACTTCATTAAATAAATGAGACAAAAAAAAATTATAAGCTTAATATTTTAAGTCTGTAAATAATTTCTGTTTATGTATGTAGTGATCAAAATGTTAATTTTAGATAAGTAAAGAGAATATACTTAGTAAAATAAGAATTCTAGAAAAATCATCCACGCCTAATTTTTCATTTTTAAAGATTGTTTTACTCTCTATCATTTAGTTTATACCTTATCATTAAATTTATCTATCAATTACTAAGTAAACCTAAAACTACTTCAGGAAGATATTAAGTAATTAATTTGACAAAACTCAATTATATCCTTGTATTTTATTTTTTTTTGTATAATCACAAAGTTAGAATTAATAGACACACAAATTGTGCTCAAGGTTACAAGCAGAACAGTATAATTAACACCAACAATTAAGTAGACCTTATTCAAAGCTATAATTAATAGCTTTGAAGAGGTTCTACTCACAACCAAACAATCCACCTATCCATGTTCTAATTAATCCCCAAAAGTATATACAAATCTCCATTACTATTGTATTTTCAAACCAAAATAACAAATTACCTTCTGTTTTTACTTTTGATTTTTAAGTGTGCATTTTAAAATACATTAAAAAAAAATAGAAATGTGAATCTATGAACATTATAATTAATAATAGTATTAAAGTAAATGTGAATTGAAATATGTTATAAACGATGAATCTAACATGGTTGAAATATGTATATAGCAACTACTACAGGTGCACTAACAAGTATGATCAAGGATGCCAAGCAATTAAACAGGTGCAGAGAATTCAAGATGACCCTCCATTGTATCGGACAACGTATTATGGCCATCACACTTGCAAAGGCTCTTTTAATCCTGATATAATTTTGGAACCTATTTCTCCCTCTGCCTCTTCCACGCTACTTAGCTTTAATAATTGCTTTCAAAGCAAACAGGAACACTCGTTTTCATCATCACTGTTTGCATCAATGAAACATGAGCCCATGGAGATGATTCACAATGACCATATTTCTCCAAATCAATTGTCCTCGTCGGAAAACCTCCTATTATGCGATTATGAAATTTATTTCGATTATTCAAGGCATGGCGCTATGCTATCATCCACGGAATCTGTTGAATTTAACAGTGTTTATGAGCACTTTGGATTTTGATGATTAGTTATATGTTTCGATCCTCAAATTTGATTTCTGAGAAAGGCATTGGAGAGTAGCCTTCATCTTGTAATAAAAGAGGTTATATATTAGCTATTTCATTTGCTTAATTTATTTACTTTAATTGTTGTTTTGGTAGATATGATAAATTGTTATATTCTACTTTTGTTAATCATTTGGTGAGTCAAGGACTTCATAAACTAATTTTATTAACTTTTTTATTCTGGAAGGTAGTATAAAATTTATCTTGAGAGGGGAACGGTTTTACTACCACTATTCAAAACTTTTCGTTGTTGTCATTAGCACCGTTAAACATCCTTGTTGCCTTGTTCCTAGGGTACATATGATTAATGTTATTATTATCTAACATTCTCCACAGTTGTCATTTGACACTATCACTGTGCACTTGACACTTTCCACCATTGTTGCTTAACACCCTCCACCACTATATATGATAGTTGTTCACTTTTCAACAATGTTGTTACTCAATGGCTTTATTGTTATCTTTGCCTAATGTCTTGTATCATTACCGCAAGACGCTCTCTATTATTATTACCAATTTTCACTATTACTGTTGTTATAATCACTTAACATTCTTTTCACCTTTTATTGTTGTTATAGCCTTCTACTATGGCTACCAGGCAACCGTATTGTTGTCAAGTGCTCTCCATAATTTTTATATTTTAAAAATAACTGTATTTTTAATAGAAGAATAATTTTATTATTTGTATATAATTTATTTCTCATTTTATCATTATTTATACAAGATAGGATAATGTATACCGTATAATGAATTACCTAATATGCATTAAACACTGAACAAGATAAATGCTTATCGGCTTCATATTTTATCATATTCTTATTTAATCTTTTGAAAAAATATAAATCTAAAAAATATCATATTTTGTTTATTTTGAGAAGCCATTTTGAATAAATTTTAAAAAAATAAAACTACAACTATCTTTTAAAATAAAAACAATATTTTATAATTATAAAAAATACAAATTTTAATTTTATTAAAAATCTCTAAAATATATTTTCAATACACTCATAAAATTAATTTTTTAAAATTAAACATACGAGCCTAAATTCTGTCAAAAGAATAACAAACATGAACCTAACAAAAAAACCATTTACTACTTCTTCTTATTATTATTATAATTTTAACTAAAACGTTTTAGTTACAATTATTAAGTATTTTAAATGTTGATAGCTTATGATTAATTATATTAAATTCTATGTATATCATAAATTCACTATAAGAATGTACTTAATATTATAAACTTCCTACAAAATAAAGATAATTTTCTAATATAAAATTGGAAAAGATACAATCTGAAAAATATTACAAAATTGAGTGTTGATCATGGGTGTGTTTATAATTTTTTGACTCACATATATATGTATGTATGTACACATACAATGCATATTCGTTATTGGAAAAAAATGAAACTTTGTACTATCTTTTTTTCTTCTTTTGTTTTTATATATCTAAATAAATTTAATAAAGGCTTGCCAAAATAATATTTTATCCATTACTGTGTGATTTTTAGAATATTTTTTATAAGCAAAGCTAGAATTTTATTTATATAAGAGAACAATATCCCAACCCTTATATAATCCTTTAAATAGACTATAATACTTCTTGACCTTATGGTCTCTAAAGAATTGATACACCAACCAAATAAATTTTCCAACCCACCCATCTTTAACTTGTTGCAGACAAATATCATGGAAAAAATTTAATCAAGTCACACCAGTCAAATCAAAGCTAGCATTATTAAACACTAAATTTACTACTATATAAGTGATTAATAAGCCACCAGACTACTAACTGCCAATCATTTTTTTCCTCTGATAGGATCATAATTGTAAACAAAGCGCTCAAGGCAATTAAAGGGAAAAACATCAGAAAATTCAATCAATGCTTAAAAAATACAATTAATCTTGCGGATAACATCAACAACAGTTGCCAAAAAAAAATGTAAGCACCATTGAAAGAGTTAAACACTTGCAAAAGCTCTGAAATTTTTTCATTCATTGAGTTGTTATTTAAACATTGGTGGATGGTGGTCATGACTGATGGGCTCGGTCCATAGGGTAGGATGTAGGAAAAATGGTTATGAGTTAATTTTCTTGAATTTTTGTGTTATTTAGGTAGGACCTTTAGAATAGTAGAAGGAAGCTGTGGAGTTATTGTGCAATTAGGCTTTGCATTGATGGATTATGGGTTGGTGAAGATGGCTGAGATTGTTGGTACTGCCACAAGGTCTCGTTTTTAGTTGGTTATGGTGTGAGCATAAAGGAAGGAAATGACCAATGAGAGTAGGGTTGACGCAAATAGGAAAAATGCTAATGTATGATATTGGGCATGAATTTGAAATTTTGACGAAGCTTTAAAAGTATTATGATAAAGTAATACGTCTTTTACCTGTTAAAATATGTTAATAAAATAAAGAGCCATGTCTGTCATAATATTAAGATGACTAATTAATATATATATATATATATATATATATATATATATTAATCTAATGAGATTTAAATATTTTGATCACTAATTTCAAAAGAAACTGATGAAAAAAATTTGTGTAATTATTTCTAATACATTTAATTCAATAATTAATTGGCCTTGGAGGTGGCTAACATCACAGATGGAGACACTTTACGCAATCCTCGTGACCTCACCCTAGCTGTAAACGTTGTAGGGCTTCATTGGTTGTCTCACATTGTGTTGGAGCGTGGAAAAGTTGGTTTTAGCACTTGCAATTGTCGAACATGTCTCGAGATTCCTAATTAAAAGTTTAATTTCTTAATTTTTAGTTAATTGCAGGAGATGGGTCACACTCCATTTTTTAAACAAAGAAAAAATAAAAAATAAAAAAACCCTAACTTTGGAACCGGTCGGCTCTGTGAGGTCCTTTGGATCGTAGAAACGCCACAGAAGCACTTATCAGAGAACGCGACTTTTAACCAACTTATTCAACTTGTTAGCAAAACAAGTGCAGATGAAGAAGAGTACTACCGTTTGCTGAAGATCTTGCGGTTCATGAATAGTGATCTCATCATCTTTCACAAATTTAATACCCTGAAGCTTTCTAATTACTTTTTCTCCTTCCAACGGTCCGGTGATGTATGCTATGAATGGGACCGATTGCTCATGGACAAACTATGAAAATTTGGAACCATGTTGCAAGTGCTTCAAAATTCAAGATATGGAGGTAATTCATGATGTTATTTTTATGTTAGTAGCTTTCATTTAATCGTAACTACATTAATATTAATTTTAATTCTTCGGTGAGCTCCTTTTGGAAAACAGAAAACTATATGGTTTGAACTCATAAATTTATACACGAAAGATGTCATGATTAAGAGTCGTTTTAAACAAATAAAACCATATCAACTTTTTTTCATTTGCATTTTATTTAAGCGTTTAACATTTAATTAGGTAAGTTATTTTAATTAATAATAACAAATCATTCTGTCTGTTAGCTTCACAAGCACAGAGCTTCTGTCATGCATTACCTTTGCAAAACAACAGACAACAATTTGATCATATATCCTATGGTATGCCAATTTTTGTAATTACATAATTAAATATTAAATAATCAGCTTTTATAATTTTACACTTATTCTATTTTATATTCGTTTTTCTATTTTCTTTATGTCTCTTCTTTTTCTTTTTCTTTTTCTTTTTCTTTTTTATTTCTCTCTTTCTTCCACTTTATAGTCGAAATTAACAGGACTGTCTAGGTATAGTTGTTCTTAATTAATTGGCAGTCTGTGAGTTGTTTGCTACACATAAATAATTGAGGTTGACTTATTGATCAACTTGAGAGAGGTAATAAACTAAAATGAAGTAGTCTCAAAAATATTTGGCTCACCTTGTCAAGTTAAAATTTTAAAAACCTTATTTATTTTTATCTTAAATTCTTGATGATAGTTTAATAATTATTGTTTATTGTCAGTAATAATATGGTAGTTTAATTTTAAATTATACGACAGTCTGTCAATTTTATCTTATATCATTATAAATAATATTATATTATTGTTATATTAAATATTATTTGTTTTATGTGTAAATTTTTATCTATTATTTAATTTTGGGTTTAAAATTTAGTATGAGAAAAGGTTAAGTAATTCTCAATTATCACATGTATAATTCAAAATCCATCCTTTTTTTGGTCAAAGAAGATATGGTTACTAGGAGAAAAAATTGTCCTACTTCAAAATCAATACATACCACAAACATTAAGAAAAACTTCAATAATTATCAAAGTATGACTTTCCATAATAGTATACTAATTATATTTTAAATTATATGACAGAAGTTTTATTTTACATTATTTATAAATAATACCATATTAATTTTATATATATATATATGGGACTCTTCGTTAGATTTAAATTAAATAAAAGACTTAAATTGAATATAAGAGTTTTTAAATTTACACTAATATAAGAAGATCTTTCCTCTATATATATATATATTGAATATAATTTATCTTATATGTGATTTTGTATCTATTATTTTATTTATGTTTAAAATCTAGTACAAGAAAGAAGTACTTAAGTAATTACCAATGATTATATATGTGATTCAAAATCGATCACTCCACTTGTACAAGTCATTAAGATCAATCCTGTGAATCTAACTAAAGAATCTAATATCTCGTTATCAAATTTACATCGGTCTTTCTTTTACTAAAAAAACAAAGGTTAGTAGGAGGCTAAGTTTCCCTAATTCAAAATCAAGACATATCACAAACATTAATAAAAATTTACAACGATACTCACAAAATAATTATCAAAGTATGACCATATATAGATTTCCATTGGCTCTTTTATTAGCCTATTTTATGTTACCAATTGAGCCAATCTCATTAGCGAGATTTTCATGATTGGATATGTTTGTCTTGCAAGTTTAATTCAGATAACTGTGGCTTCTTCTTGGAAGAGCTTAGCTCCGTCCATGTGAATTATAATTTAGGAAAAGCTAAACCCAAAAGTAGTTCCATTATATCATAAATATATGTCCAATAATTATTTCTTACGGTTTAAGATTAGGAAAATCCAATGTTTCTATTAAGATTGGCTAATTGATTGCTAATAGCCGTAGACTCAAAAGGCAAATAATTCATGCAAAGGAGAAAAGGTTACTCCATTATAGATTTCTAACTCTAATTTAGACGTTAGTTTGGATATACCGGCCACCATAAAATGAAGACATTTGAGTGATGACTTTGTTCAAAATTGATGGAGAAATAGAAATTAAATAAGGACCTTTACAAGGACTTAAGAGTAACTTTTGATGACCACAATAAGACTATATGGCATAGCTAAAGGATTGACGAGAATATACTAACAAAAAGTGTTTTGATGCACGGTCTGATGGAGTTTGTGATCCTCTACACTTCTGCTCGTTACTGAAAAATTTTTAGGTAACCAAGCATCATCCACTAGGCGTTTAATTCAGCAATCAACATGTATAAAGACATTCTCGAGTGCAAGGCATATTTTTAACATAACCTGCACAATGATATGCTCGTTTAATATTGAATAATGAAGTGGATATTGCGAGCAGAAGTTTCCTAAAATATGTACTTTGATAGTTATAAATTTTGAGGCGTAGTGAACAATGGTAAGTATCATCATCATCTCACTCAAGACATGAAAAATAACAAGTTTTCCACAAAAGACCAAAACTACTCCAGTATATAGATCCTTATATGGACTGGCCAAACTTAGAACTTAGTTAATATAGGTTTCATATGACCTTTACACGAACTTTACACACACACACACACACCATATTAGGTAGGAGGATATGAATTTGACATATAAAGTAAGAAAATTGAAAATTTATTTAAAGTGAAGATTTTTAATTTCTTCAGTGCTGCTGGAAATGTGTGGTATGAACAAGTATTGAACTCTAAAACAATATATTCATATCACTTTCTAAAAAAGGAATAAGATCTAATTCCAATTCACTATAATTAATTTATGACAAATTCTAAATTGTGTTTTTCAAGATATTAGTTATGAAATTAAAAGTTTAAACTTTTTTATTTAAAAGTGATGCCAATGTATGATTATTTTCAATATACTACAGTGATTTTAAAAAAAAAGCTATTTATTAATTTATTAACTGATAATTTTAGAATACTAGTTAACAAAGGTGTAATGAAATATTAATTTGTGGGATCTGTTAATTTGAAACACCTACTAAAGAGGATTGTTTTAGAATTTTATTAATCCTAATTAGATCGAGTCAACTATAAAATAAAATTTCCACATCTCATTAATTACATCGAGACAGATATAAATAAAATCGTTATCAATGACAAAATTTACCTTTTAGTTTCTATATATAACTATTTAAAGTCATATAAGCATAACTAACACTTAATAAATATTTAAGATGGGTAGTAGAATTATAAAATCATGATATTTACGAGCTTTATTATTTTTCTACAAATCATCTTAATAATATTTTACTACTTTACTGTACAAAACTTGGAAAAATTTAAAATTATTCTGATATTAACGCTAGCTGGACTACTGAGCATCAATAGATAACGAAAATTCCTTATGGGTACTTTCCTAGTTACCTACTTACCTTTACTGTATTTGAGTGAACATGGTTGTCCCAACTTGCAATGGCTAAGTTTATAGCTCGAACTAAACCCTAGCTAGGAATTCTGGACCCATCAAAAAATAAAATAAAACCTCTCCTTTATGTGGCAATCATTCACTGGTTGTGCCATTCAAACAACACTTAAGCTCTTGACCCAGCCTTTATCCTACTGAGAATTTTTTGTCTCGACTCAGAAGAACAACGATTTTAAAATTGCTACTTGGTAAACTGCTTTTTGAATATAAATGGATTGTGTTTCTTCGTTTCTCACCAGGTCTTCAATCTGTTGCGCTTCCAAAACAGCAATGGAGAATCAACCTTCAAACGGAAGAAAGGCAATGGAAGAAGAGCTTATCAAAGGGCGTGACATAGCAAACCAATTACTTGAAGTACTTGTTCATAAATCCAACACTCACCTTGGAGATGTAGAAGAAGGATTAATGTTACCATTTGCTCAAGATCTTGTTAGCAAGGTATTGAGATCATTCACAAATACCCTTTTGCTATTAAACACTGATATTAATGATGTCTTCGATGAGGTTGTTGTGCCTATCACTATCGAAGATGCGAAATGCCCAAAGCCTGAGGATAAGGATGAGGCTTGCAGGAGTTTCTTCAATGCTAAAAGATGAAGAGGGTGCAACAAGAGAAAGTAATAATTATATTGTTTTTAACTTATTATTACATATGGATCCTTTCGTTCTCTCCTTTAAGAATTCAACTATATCATTTTCTATTAAGAAAGATAAAGATGCAATCTTCCTAATCAAAGGGGTACGATTAATTATTTCCATCAACCATGCCGAAGTAATATGTGTTTTTCTCTTATAGAAAAATCAAAGACCAAACTTCATTGTCATTCTTTCTTGAGGATATAAAATTTCTAATTAGCTGACTACAATAATTATGGATTTCTTTCTATCGGTCCTTTTCTCTTAATCCTTAGACTAAATTATATTTTGTCACTCTAATTTTCGTAAACTTTTTTCGTCTCTAAGTTTTCATTTGTTCTGATTTGGTCAGCCCAACTTTGTCTTTGGGTTTAGCTTTGCAGTATATTAGCAGTATACATTGTGCTGAATTGAAAATACTCCCTTGATACTTCATGTTCAAAAGAGTTATGCTATGTCGCCCCCATATAATTAACCGAACTAAATACATTTAGTTAATCAACTTCTTTTGCAGATTTAACAGCATATTGAAAAGGTCAGTCAGATTGAATAAGCATGATTACATGTACAATCATGGATTAATTGTGATTTATTGCTATTGATTTCATAAATATTTAGTTAGAAGATTAGTGGATTTTAGTTAACCAAATAATCGCATACTTACTAGTTGAACAAATAAGAATTTCACTATTGAAATGTTTCATCTTCATGAGATCAACTGCACCAACATGGGAGAAGAACAGCTCAATTCTGGCTGAAGATGGGTATGCATGGAGAAAGTATGGACAAAAAATGACAATGAATGCAAAATACCTTAGGTATATCCATTGATTCTTCAATTCCAAATTATGCCCTCTCCTTTTCTTCTTGATGATATGTATATCTCTTCTATGATTCTTATAATGAATGTGTGCAGGAGCTACTATAGATGCACTCACAAGTATGATCAGAGTTGTCCAGCGATCAAACAGGTGCAGAGAATTCAAGAAGACCCTCCATTGTACCGAACAACGTACTATGGCAATCACAATTGCAATAGCTCTATAAATTCAGATATAATGTTGGAACCTGCTTCTTCTTCTGACTCTTCTATGTTCCTTAGCTTCAATAACACCTTCCTAAGCAAAGAAGAATACCCATTTTCACCATCACATTTTAAATCCACAAAACAGGAGCATATGGAAGTGATTCGGAATGACCATATTGTTCAAAACCAATTACCCCCATTAGATTACCTCCTATTATGTGACTATGAACTAGATTTCAATTATTCCAGGCATGGTACTGTGCTATCATCCACTGAATCTGTTCAATTTGATACAGTTTATGGGAGCAGTTTGAATTTTGATGGCTAGGCATGTTTTGGTCTACAAAAGTTGTTTTATGTAGAGAGAGCAAGGCATTGGTGATCTTGGCATATGGTTTAATTCTATGGATTTTAGTTACCTTAATTAAGAAATTAGTCTCTTGCAGTGATTGAGAGAGTCCCTATTTTAGTTGCTAAAAGTAAACAGTAAACTTATTTATTTCTGAAATTATCCTGTCACACAACCTGGTTCCCGAGTTTAATTATGTATATACAGTTAATTATTCTGTTTTATAAATTTAAGGACTAATTTATTCAAATAAATAAATTTAGAAGTTAATTGTTCTGTTTCATAAATTTAAGGACTAATTTGTTCAAATAAAAACAAATTTGGAGGCTAAAGTGTGTGTATAAAAAATTCCATATACCAAATTACCGATATTTTCTTAAAAATATTTGCCTTTTTTAAAAAGAAATTATCTGCATGCATAATATTGTATATATTATGAAATGAACAATAATTTGCCTTGGTTCAACTCAGTACATATACAAGGCTGATTGTAATATCATCATTACCTTGTGAAGATTGATTCCAAATAGATTGTAGGATCTCAGGTGCATTGAATTTGTTGTTTGGAAGGGTAACTCTTGAGGCAATATTTGCTTTGTAAAGAGGGGGCTTGTGTGGGTTTTATTGATCTAGTAATCTGTAGGCAGCAAAGTTTTGTTGATTTAGTATTGATATCAGTGTTGTATGCATGTAGTGGTAGTTTTATTAAGGGCATAAAATTTAGTTGGACTAAACCGTATACTTTTGGTATTAAATTGAGGCACTTTCGTTGTTTGAATAGTTAAAAATTATTATATTATATATAATTATTTTTATTTTTATTTTTAAACACCTAAAATGGAGTATTTTTAGGTATTTATTTATATTTTAAAATATTTTTGAGATGCATATATAATAAAAAAAAGAAAAATATACAATATATTAATTTTTGCCTACTCAAATAACAATATGCTATGAAATTATTAAATATGTTTTTATGACTATAATGTTTTTAAAATTGTTTATAAATATGAATAAATTTAATATTAATTTTTAAAATAAATTACTAGTTTTGATTCTCGTTAATTTTAATTGTTTAGACTAATTTCTATTATTGTTTTGTCATAAATAATCTCTATTATTATTTTGCGATAACATGACATATATTTAGCAATTTGATATCTAGGTCATTCAAAAGTGACAAATAATATGATACATTTAAAATAAATATCTATAATTTTAACATTTTATATTAAAAAAAAAAAACTTGATATGTAGAGAGAGGACCAGGATGAGGATGAGAAGATGATTACATACTTTGAATCTGAAAAAATGATTACAAAAATTTTATATTTATCCCACTTTAAAAAGATATAACTTGTTAGATACAAATAGGAGTATTATGATTCATCGCATCTACTAATATTTCCTTACCCAAAATTAATTTTAACGGGTTTCAATTTTAAAAATTAAGACTTTTATGTTTTATAATCAAGATTTGAGTTACCTTCAGGTGTTATTTTAATAGAATTAGATGTACTTTTAATTAATTAAACAAATACTTTAATGGTCTTATAATGTTATGTGCTATATTTATGCATGTCTACTTTTCGATTAAGTGTTTTGAGTTCATCTCTAAAGGTGTAACAAAATAAACGTTAACAATACATCTATCTTTTATATATTATTAATTATTAATTGCTGAATAAAATTCATAAACGATCATTAAACAAGGAATAAAATGTATTATTTAATAAACCTTATATAAATTTTCTCTTGTGATAAAAAGTACATAAAAATATGGAAAAATATGTTATTGGTATTAACTATTTGATCTGATTTTTTTTATCACCTGGTAAAACTAGACCATTGTATTTGAATCGATAATTTTTTTATTTTAGGTTTAATCATTTTAAACTAATAGTTAACAAGATTAAATCAAGTATGACTTATTTTTCATCATTGGGTTGAATATGTCGTACGATCAATATTCACTAAGCATCTTAACATGCTACATGCAATACTTTATTGTGCCAACAACACAAGATCATTGCTATCAAGTCATACCTCTTATGTTAAAATCTTTTAAAATATTTGAGAGTTATATATAGAGCTATTGCCAAACTAAATTTTAACTCAGGAGAAAACTTTTGTATCTTAATTATAACTCCATTTGCATTTGAGCTTTACATAAAAGTGTGTATATAGTTTATCTTTTTCATATTATTTTGATGAAATATACATCAACTTTAACATCGGAATACTAGTGAGTTAGATCTCAAGAGCCTTCAATCCACTTGGGCTTGACCACATCACTCCTGATTTTATACCTCGGTCCCGGAATCTGATTTATAATAACCATTTTGAAGTTAAAAATTTTCATATGGCAAATATTTATAGCCCGGTACATATATTTATTTATGTTTGATACTAAGAAGTTCGTGGAATAGTTCAATAGAAGAAGAACAAGAAGCTTGGGGGCTCATCACGAGTAAAATTACAAACAATCCCTTAAATTTTATTCAAGGTGAATACGAAACATATCATCAGTGTTAACCCAATATTGCGCACCCAAAGTCCGAACATAAAATGAGTTTAGTTATATCGTGTTCTAAAACTTAATTAAAAAAGTGAGAATACAAAACATGCAATTCACTGTAGTTGAAGAAAGCTACGAATTAGAACGCTTATTTCCTCCTTTTTTTTAACTCGTAAATACTGGAGAGATTCTTAAGATTATTATATATAATTGTATAATTCAGAGCAGCCACCCTCAGAATCGTCTACATGTAGGTTTGTTGTGCAGTAGCTTTCAGAATTAAATCACCAAGTTGTCAGTCATTGCAGCGATATTGAATTTTCCCTCATTATGGATTGAAATGTACAGTAATGATAAAATAACGTGTAGTTTAAGAAGAAGATTCTAAGGAAAACTCAATTAGTCTCCAATCATTTATATATCCCCACAAAACACAACTAACATTTCAACCCACATTCCCACCCTTCCAAGTAACTCACCCTTTTAATGATAAAACATAAAGCGTTGATCATATAATTGTAATTATATTATTTTGTGCAGTCAATAAAAGTCAGTTTATGGTAATAATTGAAGTTCAAATAATTACAAGTCATTATCTACTATATCAGAAGTATAAAAAGAGACGTAATGATGGAAATATATTAAAATAGTTGGAGGTAATTTCAAATGTTAAAAATCAATAATACACAGAGCATGTGAATTAATTAGTAAAAATTGTTTCAATGTAATATATGATCTTAAGTTTTAATCTCAATAAATGCAGTTATGTTAAATACTTAAAAAAAGAAGTTTGTCATTTATAATAGTTTTATCTAGCTTGATCAAAAATATATTTAATAAAAGATACTTGTAGTATAGAAAAATATTAAATTAAAATTAATAAACTTAGCTTATAAGACTAAAGTTTAATTGGCGTGGCACCTTAAATTTTTCCTTTACATCAACGTAAACAATTGTTGCATTGTTTGATATTCCCTAGAATTCCAAATAGAATAATAACTTTTCATTAAACTTTAATATTAAAAAATGATTAAATTATTTACTAGATATCTTAATCGCACTGGAATTTGATTTCTTGTGAAAAAAAAATTGTGTGTAGAAAGGTATTAGTTTGCTTTGCAAATTTAGAAAAGAAAACTACTGTTAAGGAAACTCTTTATAAATGCAAATATTATTAAATTGAATGATAAAAAAAAAAAGTTTGATTGTTTGCAATAAACTATAGTGTGATATGTTTACATCAATCTTTTTTAAAATATTGAGTGTTTAATTGAGCTTGAGGTTTTCATTGAGTCATATGTGGATGGGGGTGATTAATTTTAATGTCGGAAACTGCTAGCGAAAGCCACAAATCGTGAGTGATGAGGATGTCTTAGATCTTTTAACTTGAAAACACATTGTGGTCACTAATCTTAGATTAAAAAAATATTTAAAACTTAATTAAGTCACAATATCAATAAAAGATAAACCTCATCATTGAGTTTATCCGCTACATAATTTGATACCGTGATACTAAACAAACACTTATTTATCATGATATTAAAATTGTTGTACTATTAAGATTTTGCCACACCTCAGAGTTATAATCAGAAATGAATAGTTCATATCATACGACGACTGTCTTAATATTTAAGTATTCACTGTAATTAATAAAGAGCAATGCCCAAGTATTTCACTTACCATACACAAGACAAATTTCTTCATGTCCAACATTAACAGTAATATAAATATTTAAAATATTTATCGATGAAAATGTGCAGAATAATGATAGATTTTCTCTGGGCAATTGAATATTTTTAAAAATGACCTTATGCGAAGAATTGTATCACCAAAATAATTTGTTTAATATTCCAACAACCACGAAGATGGACATATCAATCGAAGGAAATCAAAGTTGTTCCAAGTCCTATAATTCGGCTGGTTTTAAATAATATCTTTGAAATTGTTATCAATGGACCAATAATATTATTTGGTCCTTTAAACATACAAAAATTTACTTAATTATATATATTGAAATGAATTTTTACAGAGATTATATTGTATTTCTTTTATGCAGTAAACCCATCATTTACTCAAAATAATAAATTGATTTTATTTTGTAGGAAAATAATAAATCTGTTCGTGGATTAAAGGTAAAACAATAAATTTTACTTAATATTGTATGATTGCTTAAATTTTATTAAAAAAAAAGTTATTGAACAGATAAATAGTACCAATAAATATTCTAAAACTGTATGTACTCTATTAAATATTTTTCATTATTTTAAAAAAATGTCAAATAATTTTAAATTTTCTGATATTATATATAAACTTTGTTTTTAATAAATAATTGTTTTGTTTTCTTAAACAATACTTTAAAAGTCTTTGAATATAAATTTATTATAAAAAATAATGTACATCTATCATTTAAATGTGAGTTCTTATTTTCAAACAAAATTAATTTTAGAAATCATCTTAAATA